CTGCACGTGTAGCTACACATGCAGCTACACGTGTAGCTACTTGTGTAGCTACATGTGTAGCTGCACATGTAGCTGCACATGTAGCTGCACAAGTAGCTACACAAGTAGCTGCACAAGTAGCTGCACATGTAGCTACGGGCCCCGCACTTTCAAGGGCCCCGCGCTAAATGCTTTCAAGTTATCAATTCCGGTTCAGTGATTCTGCACTTGCTCTATTACTATAGTACTATACCTCCTTCAACTTTTACGAACGACTGTGTGTTTAAGGTTAACGATTTGTCGTATTATCTGGCTGTATAGAAAATGAAAAAATACAATAACTTTATACTGCGAGTAAAAATAAAATGTTTTATTTATTTATTTAGGGCCTCTTTATAACATATGCTACAGGCCCCGCACTAGCTTAATCCGGCACTGGTGAGAACGAGAGAATCCTAATACTAATCTTAATTTCTCGAGAGGGGTGTAAAGAGTGAGTTATAGAGAGAGAGAGGGGGGAGGGGGGCGCTCCCGTGTGTGCTCTCACACTCCATTAAAACGCGCTCAGGCTGAAGTAAGCTGACCGGGCAGCCACTGGCATCAGACTGAGCTCCAAGGAAACCCACAGTAACCCGGTGAGTGGAGAGAGGGGGGAGATTGTCGGTGTCACCTCGTGTGTCACGGTGTGTGTCACGATGTGTGTCACGGTGTGTGCCACTCCGTGTGTGTCACGGTGTGTGTCACGGTGTGTGTCACGGTGTCACTCCGTGTGCCACGGTGTGTGTCACTCCGTGTGTCAAGGTGTGTGTCACTCCGTGTGTCACGGTGTGTGTCACTCCGTGTGTCACGGTGTGTGTCACGGTGTGTGTCACTCCGTGTGTCACTCCGTGTGTCACGGTGTGTGTCACGGTGTGTGTCACGGTGTGTGTCACTCCGTGTGTGTCACTCCGTGTGTCACTCCGTGTGTCAAGGTGTGTGTCAAGGTGTGTGTCAAGGTGTGTGTCACTCCGTGTGTCACTCCGTGTGTCAAGGTGTGTGTCACTCCGTGTGTCACTCCGTGTGTCACGGTGTGTGTCACTCCGTGTGTCACTCCGTGTGTCACGGTGTGTGTCACTCCGTGTGTCACTCCGTGTGTCACGGTGTGTGTCACTCCGTGTGTCACTCCGTGTGTCACGGTGTGCGTCACTCCGTGTGTCACTGTGTGCCACGGTGTGTGTCACTCCGTGTGTCACGGTGTGTGTCACTCCGTGTGCCACGGTGTGTGTCACTCCGTGTGTCACGGTGTGTGCCACGGTGTGTGTCACTCCGTGTGTCACTCCGTGTGTCAAGGTGTGTGTCACTCCGTGTGTCAAGGTGTGTGTCAAGGTGTGTGTCAAGGTGTGTGTCACTCCGTGTGTCACTCCGTGTGTCAAGGTGTGTGTCAAGGTGTGTGTCACTACGTGTGTCACTCCGTGTGTCAAGGTGTGTGTCACTCCGTGTGTCAAGGTGTGTGTCAAGGTGTGTGTCAAGGTGTGTGTCACTCCGTGTGTCACTCCGTGTGTCAAGGTGTGTGTCAAGGTGTGTGTCACTCCGTGTGTCACTCCGTGTGTCACGGTGTGTTCCACGGTGTGCGTCACTCCGTGTGTCACTCCGTGTGTCAAGGTGTGTATCACTCCGTGTGTCACTCCGTGTGTCACGGTGTGTGTCACTCCGTGTGTCACTCCGTGTGTCAAGGTGTGTGTCACTCCGTGTGTTACTCCGTGTGTCACGGTGTGTCACTGCACGTGAACGTGTGCTATGGAACAGAGCGAGGGGAGAGGCAGAGAGATAAATGACGTGAGCTGCAGTGTGGTGAGCGGGTGGGTGGGTGAGTGGGAGCGTCAGTGAGTGAGTCAGTGAGTGGGTGGGGGGGTTGGTGAGTAGGAGTGAGTGAGTGGGTGAGCTGTTGTGACCTGGTGGTTGAACACAGTGTGGTGAGTGGGTGGGGGGGGGGTTGGTGAGTAGGAGTGAGTGAGTGAGCCAGTGAGTGGGTGAGCTGTTGTGACCTGGTGGTTGAACACAGTGTGGTGAGTGGGTGGGGGGGTTGGTGAGTAGGGGTGAGTGAGTGGGTGAGCTGTTGTGACCTGGTGGTTGAACACAGTGTGGTGAGTGGGTGGGGGGGTTGGTGAGTAGGGGTGAGTGGGTGAGCTGTTGTGACCCGGTGGTTGAACACAGTGTGGTGGATGAGCCGAATCAGTGGGTGTCTTGCAGCCCGAGTCCTCAACACGGGTGGAGGAATGAACGAGTGGAGTCCACAGGAACGGGAACCACTGGTAGTAGTAGCGATAGAAGAGTGAGTGACAAGGAGGTGACCGGAGTGAATCGGTGCGTGCTGACCGTCCATCCATCCACCTGACTTTCCTTTGTGTTCAATCCCAGGGGCTGGCTGCCAGACTCATCCATCGATCATCATCCCCTCCTAGCGATGATGTCAGTGGCCTCCGGGGTACAGGCGGCAAGAAAATATATACAGGGACTCCTCTACTGACGAACATATCTACTTACGATATTTCACAGATACGAACATATCTGTGCATATGTCCAGTTGCCTGTTCGGGCTGAGAGTCGTAAGTTCAACCGCCGCGCAATAGATGGCGGTGATGGCATCTACATCTGTAGAACATTAAGAACCAGTGGCATCTACAGAACAAGAAGAACCAGTGGCATCTACATCTGTAGAACATTAATAACCAGTGGCATCTACATCTGTAGAACATGAAGAACCAGTGGCATCTACATCTGTAGAACATGAAGAACCAGTGGCATCTACATCTGCAGAACATGAAGAACCAGTGGCATCTACAGGAGATTTTAAAGCCATTTAGTGTACATGCCGTACACCATGTTTGAAATCGACAGGAGTAAAGTTGGACTTACAAACAAATCGACTTACGAACAGACCTTTGGAACCTAACTTGTTCGTAAGTAGAGGAGCCCCTGTATGTGTGCGTACATGTCTTTATAAGAGGTTTTTTTTTTATATATATGAATATATATAAAACTCTGTGTGCGTATATATATAACTAGACGAGTATTTGTTTATGACTATACACATATATACACACGCCTACCTAAATGTGTATACACGTACGTAAAACTCTTCATCTGGGCAGACGTTGTGCGTGAGTGTGAACACGGGCCAATTCCACGGTGCAGTAACGGAATTGCAGGACCTGACGCTCGCCGTGTAATTTGCACGGCGGTTCGAATCCGGCACGCGCCACCCCGGTTAACACCGCGGGTGCATTCCCCAGCCGTAAAACGAGATGACTACGGCCCCACCCCGCCGCGTCTCACGGCGGCCGTTAAATATCCACCCAACCACCCCCCCACCACCCCCTGTCCGTGGTGTCATTCGAAGCGAGCAAGGGGGCCTGCGTCCCACGGTCCGAATTAAAAAAATGACAACACAAATTGTTCAATTTGGGAACACGTAGCGGAAACATCGCCCCTCCCCCACACACACACACACTCCTACTGCGAAACGACGACAGGCTGTGTCTGTGAATCACAGCAGCTTCCGTTTGCGATGATTGCCCCTGCGCTGGGAGAACACGATAGCCGCCGCTAACCACGTGTTACGCTGTTGATTAGCACCGTACTGTTCTCCTGCAAAACAACGCGTGTAAGGTTCAACCACTACACTTACATAACGCGACTTGGATAGAACGCCATGGATGGATCGGGGGACACATTTGATTTTTATATAACGCAGATGCGAATTGGATGTAACGTGATTGTGAGTGAACAGAATCTGCGTCGCGCGAGTAGGAATAAGCGTTTGTAACGGCCGCCACGGCGTAGCATCATCATCGTCACACAAGGTAGCGGGATGCTGCTGGATGCTTCTGGACGCTACCCATGCGCGTCAGCCTTTGCTCGGCCCTGCGCCGTGTTATCGCGGACCCCCCCCCCCGCCCCCACACACACATTATATATTATGTATTAAAACGCGATTTGTCCACATAACGCGGTGTTCATATTCTTGGTTCTTTCGGTAAAGTCACGTAGAAGGGAAACAATAAAATAATAAAAATATAAAACATTATTATTTTATTGTTTCCCTTCTACGTGACTTTACCGAAAGAACCAAGAATATGAATCCCTGCAGTCGCGAAAGCTTTAAATCAAAATATAACGCGGTGTTCTTCGGAAAACACAACTACCGCCGCTTTATTGGAGAACACGACTGCAGTTATAAATGTTCCTACAGGGTGGACTCGCGCGATCCATAGAAGGGGCCCATTTCGTCGCTGCGTCTATCGCAGTGGACGCCGGATTGAAGCACACCCCTTGGAATCAAGGACCAGATTTTTCTCAAGTCGTGCGCTTGTATCAGAAGCTGCCGCTCACTTCCTCCGTCCGCCGGTGTACTCTGAAGCATATGTTGCTCATATCAGGACTGTGCTTATGTTAGGTGGGCTCATAGCCAGCTTCCAATGTAGCCCTGGTTTTGTACCGCCATTCCGTCGCAGTGAAATTGCCCCAAGTGACTCGATGAATCGTCACTCTCCAGGGACGCGATTTGGTTTCAGAATGTACGATTTCATAATACAGGTTTGTTTTTTGGGTTAGATAGCGTCAATATATAAACGTGTCGTTAAACCCGCTACCACCCGACACAGCCAATTAGTGAAGGTTTGTCACGTAAACAGAACGTGCCAATTCGTTACTAGTACAGCACTAACCAGTGTGTTGGAGAGCCAAGCCACAAACATTTACAATCTTGAGTACGACGTTTTGACGGTAATTACGACTACCTTCATCAGGCGACAGCCAGCTTTGTGAAGAAGTCCTCCTGTTTCGTTCCTTAAATAGAGGGGCGGATGCAATGACGTCACTTGTGTGCTCTTCCTGCGGGAAGTGCGCGGGTTAATTAATGTGTGCATGTACATGACTATGGGTACCCATTTGCCGTTTGGGTTGTTTATATGGTAATCAACGTACATTGCGCATGTGCAGTGTGCAAGCCCATTGTTGTTGTACTTCCTGTCGATTCTGTGTACTAAAATAGCCGTACCAATGGTAATCCCTATTGAAGAATTGGGGAACTGTATCGGCATGCATTTAGACAATGTTTTATTATTTGATGATTCGCTTCCAAGCAGCACTAAGTCCGTAGCTATCCGAATGGTTGCAATTCTTTTTATTTCTCCCAATTTCCATAGATTATCTAATTAGTCTTGGTCAGAAGTAACTAGTTTTGCACAGAACTTCAACAACAAAATCAAATCAGTGTCCTTGTTGGCACGTACAATGTGTGGTTAATGCAGTGCTTGATTGCCAGAAGGGGTAAAAACCTATTATTAGGTTTTGGCCGGACATAGGGGTGACCGTGGAGGTCACGTGCTGTCAACGACGCTCGGGGTTCTACTCGCTGCCCACCATCGCAACGCCTCGAGCGTCGAGGCGCCGCCCGCGACACCGTCCAGGCTCTGAGGCTTTCACGAAACCCGTGAAGGTGGCCGCCATGATGGGTCGCGGCAATTCTTCGTTGCAAGAGCCCCTGCGGGGCCACTGGCGGGCCCCTGGTGGCCTTCTACTGCAGCCCCCTGACAACACACAAAGAGTGACAACACCACCCATCATCATGGTGCCGTCAACCCCCAATGGATTCCAATAATGTGTGGCGACCCTCAAACTGACGATGTCTCATCGGCGAAAGTGTGACGTCTGAACGGATCTCTCCCGTCCTCCACCTCCTTCAAACGAGCGGTTTGCGACCCGGAATACATTATCCCCCCCTGGGACACCACACCCAGTGACGGCTAAGCAGGCAGGCCTTATAGCTCCCGGTGAGTGGTCTCTACGCCCGAGTACTTTTGGGTCAGCCCATCCGGTGCTTTGGCCTTGCCTGCCGCTGACCGCTTTTTGCCTCTGCGGACAACGCGAAGCTGCCCCCGTCACGCGTCGAGCTACCGTCAAGCGCTGGCGCCTTCGCCACGGTCGCCCTGACGTGCCCATGGGCGGCAAGATCTGGCCCATCTGCTCTCTCCCTTCACCCCCGATGCACACAGGGTGCTCCAGAAGGTTCAGAGGTAGGTGGGGGGGGGGGTCAGTGCGGTTCACGTCACTGGAGGTCCTGGTTCTCAGACCTCTTGGCGCTGATGGACAGCGACCCTCGTCCTCTGCCTTCTTGTTCAGACCTTCCATACCCTGGGTCTCACGGCATGGCCCGTTGAGAGGAGGCGTGTTCCACCACTTCGACCTCCAGCGAGACGTGCAGGATCTCCTCCTCAGATGCCTGAAGGTCGTCCACTTGCAGGGTATTACGACTCTCGATTGGCGGTCAACTCCTCTGCCTCTGGTGTCATTCCCGGGGTTTGGCTCCCGCCTCTTGCGGGGTTGGCGCCACCCGCCAAGTTCCTTCGTGGGGGAGTGATTCAACGAGGCTCTCAAGGTGAAGGCGTCAGCTACCTCTGCCTTCCACGTGGACGTTGTGGGAAGGGCCTGTAGGTTCCTCTCCTAGCTTGTCACGCTTGTTTAGGGCAATTAGCCAGGTGCACCCCCCCCCCGCCCCCTGGCTAGGTCTGGGGTCGCTCCTCGCCGGTGCTTGCATCTGCTGCTTAGACGCCTTGGCGGCTCCTCCGTTTGAGCCGCTCGCCACCTGCCCGGAGTGGTTTACCCTACCCTGTACAAAGACGGAGTTCTCGATCCGCTTTAGGGCCCTGCCGTTGGTTCTTTGAGCTGCCGCAAATCCGACCGGCTCTTCTTCTTGGTGGCCTTCGCCGTGAGGGGCAAGGGGAGTTGAGGGGGGGAGGGGGTGGTGGTGGTGGGAGGCCAGACTCCAAGCACAGTGGGTAGCCTTTTTTTGGGGAGGGCGGGGTAGTCGGAAGTGCGTGCAGTGAGGCTTACGCCGTCGCTGGGACGGTCCCCGCCGTCCCCGGTATAACTCCCTCGAACTTCTGCGTGTGCGGTAGCCACCTGATGGGCCGGCAGCAGGGCTGGGGGTGCCACCGGGGTGATGTAGGGCGTGCGGTTCGGAGAGGCCGCCTCTCGAGTATGCTGGACATTGATCGCTTGTTGACACCCCTGCGTGGCCCCGGAGAGAGCCTCTGCGGGAGGAGAGCTGTCCTCTCGGCGGCCGCGTCACAGTCAAATCGCTCTCCGTTGCTCGTTTCTCATTCAGAGGCACGTCTTTGGCCCTCCTACTTTCCTTTGGGATTCGGCTATGCGTCCATCTCCTCAACACAGCGGAATCGGACTGTGGCCACCGGGTCAAACAAACTCGGACTTCGTGGTCACGCTCAGCCTGGTGTTCACTGATGTCCGCCACCAGGGCACGCTCCCTCCCTTCGTTCCACTCCAAAACGTGTGGGGTTGTTCGTCTTGTCGTTTCAAGAAACCATTGGGGCTCATTTTGCTCCGGTTTGAATGTTTGTTGCGTTCACGTTCCCCCGGGTTTTTCTTATTGTGAGTTGCGTGTGTGTCCAGGGTACCGTGATATAGCTTGGCTTGCATTTGCAGTTCTTCGCTATAGAATGTCTGCCCGGGGAGACGGAATGTCCACCGCTTCATAACGGCGGACCCTGGCGGTGGCCACCGGTGAACAGCAAGCTTAACGTGATTGTAAATGTTGTGGCTCGGCTCTCCAACACACCGGTGTGCTGTGCTAGTAACGAATTGGCCACGTTTTGTTTACGTGACAAATCTTACTCATTGACTGTGTCGGGTGGTGGTGGGTTTAACGACACATATATTTGCGCGATCTAACCCACAAAAAAACCTCTTATGGATGATATTGGTCGCTGCTACTACGTGTTCAACTGAACATGAGTAACTGTGAAGCCTCCTTTGGATTTTATGTCTCGTTGGTTCCGCCTCCCTCGTCCGCTTCGCTTTGTCATATTTTATTTCAGCCTAAACATTCACTGCACGACACTGGCGTCAATCGCTAACATTCGAGTCTTGGGCGCACGACGCGTCTCGTGCGGTGAGCCCGAGAACCGCCGTCGTTCCCCGACTCGTCGCGGCCCTGGCGCGTGAAGCATATTTGTGTCTCGTGCGCCTTCTGTGTCTGTAACGGGTGTCAGCTGTGGTTGGCATTGGCCCTGGGGCAAGGAATTGAATGCCCCCCCCCCCCAGCCCCTCCGATCAATTGTCGCTCCCAGTACAGGCGTCAGGTCCACGGTGTAATTTTGCCAGCCATGTTCCGCGCGAGTCGGCGATGCCCGGTAAATATTTCCGCGCCTGGCACGCGCCATACGGTTTTACCTCTCAGCTACGGTATGCGTCTACTAGTCACGTGCCACCCTACTCCAGTCTACCAGCGACCGGGGACGATATTTCCAACACCCGGCACACCACGTCCTGTATTACGCCTCGCTACGGGTATGCGGGCTACCTAGTCACGTGCCATCCTACTGCTGTCTACGTGGCGACCCCGAAATTATTTATCGGCGAGAACGCAGGGCCCTTGGTCGGGCCTTAAGGCAGGGCGGGGCGCGTGTCGTCGTCGGCACCGTCGCCGCCGCCAGGGTTGACGCGCCGGCCCGCCGCCTTGCGGGCGCAGCAGGCGGGCACGAGCGGGGCGCACGCGCCCAGCCGCCACGCGCACCACCCGGGGCACGCGCAGCAGCAGCACCACAGCGCCAGCCCCAGCAGAAGCGCGGAGAGGAGAGCCGCCGCCACGCCGGGCCCCACCACGGAGCCGCGGGCCGGGCGAGGCGGCTCGGGGCCACCGCCCGGAGGGAGAGGAGGGCGAGCCGGGGCCCCGTCCGGAGTGAGCGCGGCGCCCGGCACGGCCACCGCCACGGAGCCTGCGGTGCACCCCCCACACCACCACCCACACCACCACCACCCCCACCACCAGACGCACGCAAGGAACAGAGTGCGGCGTTTAGCCACGGCGCCCTCGGAGCACTTCTCCTTCTGCTGCGCATGGCTCGTGGTGACGTGGTGATGTGATGACGTGGTGTGGTGACGTGGTGACGTGGTGACGTGGCTCGTGGTGACGTGGTGACGTGGCTCGTGGTGACGTGGTGACGTGGCTCGTGGTGACGTGGTGATGTGGTGTCGTGGCTCGTGGTGACGTGGTGACGTTGTGACGTGGTGACGTGGTGACGTGGCTCGTGGTGACGTGCTGATGTGGTGACGTGGTGACGTGGTGATGTGGTGACGTGGTGATGTGGTGACGTGGTGATGTGGTGGCGTGGTGATGTGGTGGCGTGGTGATGTGGTGGCGTGGTGACGTGGCTCGTGGTGACGTGGTGACGTGGCTCGTGGTGACGTGGTGACGTGGCTCGTGGTGACGTGGTGACGTGGCTCGTGGTGACGTGGTGACGTGGTGATGTGGTGATGTGGTGACGTGGTGACGTGGTGGTGTGGTGACGTGGCTCGTGGTGACGTGGTGACGTGGTGATGTGGTGACGTGGTGATGTGGTGACGTGGTGACGTGGTGATGTGGCTCGTGGTGACGTGGTGACGTGGCTCGTGGTGACGTGGTGACGTGGCTCGTGGTGACGTGGTGACGTGGTGATGTGGTGACGTGTCTCGTGGTGACGTGGTGACGTTGTGACGTGGTGATGTGGTGACGTGGCTCGTGGTGACGTGCTGATGTGGTGACGTGGTGACGTGGTGACGTGGTGACATGGTGACGTGGTGACGTGGTGATGTGGTGACGTGGTGATGTGGTGACGTGGTGACGTGGTGATGTGGTGACGTGGCTCGTGGTGATGTGGTGACGTGGTGATGTGGTGACGTGGTGATGTGGTGACGTGGTGACGTGGTGATGTGGTGACGTGGTGATGTGGTGACGTGGTGACCTGGTGGCGTGGTGATGTGGCTCGTGGTGACGTGGTGATGTGGTGACGTGGTGATGTGGTGACGTGATGACGTGGTGACGTGGTGGCGTGGTGATGTGGCTCGTGGTGACGTGGTGATGTGGTGACGTGGTGATGTGGTGATGTAGTGATGTGGCTCGTGGTCACGTGGTCACGTGGTGATGTGGAGCACCGGCTTGGAGTTTACATGGGGGTGGTTGAGCCAGGGGTACCTGATGGGGGGGGGGGGGGGGTCAGGGGTATCTGGCGGAGGGGGGGGGTTAGGGGTACCTGGTGGGGGTTAGGGGACCTGGTGGGAGGGGTTAGGGGTACCTGGTGGGGGTTAGGGGCACCTGGCGGGGGTTAGAGGGACCTGGCGGGGGGGTTAGGGGACGTGGCTGGGGGGGGTTAGGGGACCTGGCTGGGGGGGGGGTTAGGGGTACCTGACGGGGGGGGTTAGGGGTACCTGACGGGGGGGGGGGGGTTAGGAGTACCTGGCTGGGTCACGAGGTTTCCTGGGGGTTCGCGAGGCTCCCGGCTGGGTCGGAACGGGACCCCGCACGCTGGGGTGGGGAAGGGCCCCGGGGCCCTCAGGGAGGCGTTGGGGGCGGCCCCGCCAGGCCCTGCTGTGGGGAGCCACCCTGCGGGGGGCACGGGGGCGGGGGAGGCGCATCAATGAGTGGCGACATCTGAAGAGCGGCACGGCGGGTGGCACAGGGATATCTCCCACGCAGCCTCTCCCTAAACTCTTCACGACACGCGGTATCAGCGTCCTTTTTGCGTGCCATCATTGGTGACCGGGCTGGGATCATCGATCATCGACTCATCCACTCATCGACTCATTGACTCATCGATTCATCCACTCATCGACTTATTGACTCATCGACTCATCCACTCATCGACTCATCCACTCATCGACTCATTGACTCATTCACTAATCGACTCATCGACTCATCCACTCATCGACTCATCGACTCATCCACTCATCCACTCATCTACTCATCAACTCATCGCTTCATCCACTCATCGACTCATCCACTCATCGACTTATCGACTCATCCACTCATCGACTCATCCACACATCGACTCATCCACACATCGACTTATCGACTCATCCACTCATCCACACATCAACTCATCCACACATCGACTCATCCACACGTCGACTCATCGACTCATCGACTCATCCACTCATCGACTCATCAACTCATCCACTCATCCACACATCGACTCATCCACACATCGACTCATCGACTCATCCACTCATCGAATCATCCACTCATCGACTCATCAACTCAACTACTCATCCACACATCGACTCATCCACACATCGACACATCGACTCATCCACTCATCGACTCATCCACACATCAACTCATCCACTCATCCACACATCGACTCATCGACTCACCGACTCATCCACTCATCCACACATCAACTCATCCACTCATCGACTTATCGACTCATCCACTCATCGACTCATCCACTCATCCACACATCGACTCATCCACACATCCACACATCGACTCATCCACACATCCACACATCCACTCATCCACACATCGACTCATCCACTCAGCGACTCATCGACTCCCCACACTTGAGGAGCCTGGTTAACCACAGGGCGGGGCTGAATTTCAAGCCAAGAATCTCGGCGGTGCCAACTCAGTGGTACGAGCCGCTCGGGCACCTCCGAGTCTGTGCTGGTGTCCGGTGTCTGTGCGCGCCGTGTCTCTATGTGCCGTGTCTCTGTGTGCCGTGTCTCTGTGTGCCGTGTCTCTGTGTGCCGTGTCTCTGTGTGCCGTGTCTCTATGTGCCGTGTCTCTGTACGCGCCGTGTCTCTCTACGCGCCGTGTCTCTCTATGTGCCGTGCCTCTGCGCGCCTCTCTACGCTCCGTGTCTCTGCGCGCGCCGCGTCTCTCTACAAGCACGATGCCCCCTCTCCTCTGCCCACCACCCCCCGCGTCACCGGCGCACGCGGGCGGCAGGATGTGCGTCTCGTCCGACTCGTCGCCGCAGTTGTCGAGGCCCCGCGCGTCGCACACGAGGCTCCAGGGGACGCAGCGCGCGTTGCGGCAGCGGAAGTAGCGGCTCGTGCACGGGTCCGGCCCGCACGTGGAGCCGCCGCCGCCGCTGCTGCTGACGTTCGACTCTGCGTGGGCGACGACAGCGCGCGCGCGGACTCGTCACGTGGGGTGGGGGGTTGAGTGGGGGGGGGGCGGCGTGCCGTGACCCCCACGACTTGGGGAGGGGGGTGACAAGGGGGGAGAGGAGACTGGAGGCCACTCACGGCAGGAGGAACGAGGGATTGCAGGGAGTTTGGGGGGTGGGGATGAAGATTGTCGAGCAGTGGCAGGCTGACAGCAGCGACAACAGCCTGGCATAGAGACCCGTAGACTCGCACAGAGATTCGTAGACTCCTAGAGACTCGTAGACTCGCATGGAGACCCCCCCCCCCCCCATAGACTCACATAGCGATTCATAGACTCGTAGAGACTCGTAGACTCACATAGAGACCCATAGACTCGTAGAGACTCGTAGACTCACATAGAGACCCATAGACTCCTAGAGACTCGTAGACTCGCATAGCGATTCATAGACTCGTAGAGACTCGTAGACTCACATGGAGACCCATAGACTCGTAGAGACTCGTAGACTCACATAGAGACCCATAGACTCGTATAGACTCGTAGACTCACATGGAGACCCATAGACTCGTAGAGACTCGTAGACTCACATAGAGACCCATAGACTCCTAGAGACTCGTAGACTCGCATAGCGATTCATAGACTCGTAGAGACTCGTAGACTCACATGGAGACCCATAGACTCGTAGAGACTCGTAGACTCACATGGAGACCCATAGACTCGTATAGACTCGTAGACTCACATGGAGACCCATAGACTCGTAGAGACTCGTAGACTCACATAGAGACCCACAGACTCGTAGAGACTCGTAGACTCACATAGAGACCCATAGACTCGTAGAGACTCGTAGACTCACATAGAGACCCATAGACTCGTAGAGACTCGTAGACTCACATAGAGACCCATAGACTCGTAGAGACTCGTAGACTCACATAGAGAGTATCTATGTGAGTCGATGAGTCTCTATGAGTCTGTTGGTCTCTATTAGAGACCCATAGACTCGCACAGAGATTCGTAGACTCCTAGAGACTCGTAGACTCGCATAGAGACCCCCCCCCCCCCATAGACTATCATAGCGATTCATAGACTCGTAGAGACTCGTAGACTAACATGGAGACCCATAGACTCGTAGAGACTCGTAGACTCACATAGAGACCCATAGACTCGTAGAGACTCGTAGACTCACATAGAGACCCATAGATTCCTAGAGACTCGTAGACTCGCATAGCGATTCATAGACTCGTAGAGACTCGTAGACTCACATGGAGACCCATAGACTCGTAGAGACTCGTAGACTCACATGGAGACCCATAGACTCGTAGAGACTCGTAGACTCACAGAGACCCATAGACTCGTAGAGACTCGTAGACTCACATAGAGACCCATAGACTCGTAGAGACTCGTAGACTCACATAGAGAGTATCTATGTGAGTCGATGAGTCTCTATGAGTCTGTTGGTCTCTATTAGAGACCCATAGACTCGTAGAGACTCGTAGACTCACATATAGACCCATAGACTCACACAGAGACCCACAGACTTACACGGAGACCCGTAGACTCATAGAGACTCATAGACTTTTTACCTAGAAACGCATAGACTTCACACAGAGACCCATAGACTTACACAGAGACCCATAGACTTACACAGAGACCCATAGACTTACACAGAGACCCATAGACTTACACAGAGACCCATAGACTCACACAGAGACCCATAGACTCACACAGAGACCCATAGACTTCACACAGAGACCCAAAGACTTTCACAGAGACCCATAGACTTACACAGAGACCCATAGACTTCACAAAGAGACCCATAGACTCACAGAGACCCATAGACTTACACAGAGACCCATACACTTCACAAAGAGACCCATAGACTCACACAGAGACCCATAGACTTACACAGAGACCCATAGACTTCACAAAGAGACCCATAGACACACAGAGACCCATAGACTTCACAAAGAGACCCATAGACTCACACAGAGACCCATAGACTTCACAAAGAGACCCATAGACTCACACAGAGACCCATAGACTTCACAAAGAGACCCATAGACTTACACAGAAACCCACAGACTTCACAAAGAGACCCATAGACTCACACAGAGACCCATAGGCTTCACAAAGAGACCCATAGACTCACACAGAGACCCATAGACTTCACAAAGAGACCTATAAACTCACACAGATACCCATAGACTTAACAAAGAGACCCATAAACTCACACAGAGACCCATAGACTTCACAAAGAGACCCATAGACTTCACAGAGAGACCCATAGACTCACACAGAGACCCATAGACTTCACAAAGAGACCCATAGACTCACACAGAGACCCATAGACTTCACAAAGAGACCCATAGACTCTCACAGAGACCCATAGACTTCACAAAGAGACTCATAGACTCACACAGAGACCCATAGACTTCACAAAGAGACCCATAGACTCACACAGAGACCCACAGACTTCACAAAGAGTGTGTGTGTGGGGGGTGTGTGTGGGGGTTGTGTGTGTGGGGTGTGTGTGTGTGTGGGGGTTGTATGTGTGGGGTGTGTGTGTGGGGTGTGTGTGTGGGGGTTGTATGTGTGGGGTGTGTGTGTGGGGTGTGTGTGTGGGGGTTGTGTGTGTGGGGTGTGTGTGTGTGGGGGTTGTGTGTGTGGGGTGGGTGTGTGTGGGGTGTGTGTGTGGGGTGTGTGTGTGTGTGGGGGTTGTGTGTGTGGGGTGTGGGGGTGTGTGTGAGGGGGTGTGTGGGGAGATGTGTGTGGGGGTTGTGTGTGTGGGGTGTGGGTGTGGGGTGTGTGTGTGTGGGGTGTGTGTGGGGGGAGTGTGTGGGGGTTGTGTGTGTGGGGTGTGTGTGTGTGTGGGGGGGTTGTATGTGTGGGGTGTGTGTGTGGGGTGTGTGTGTGGGGGTTGTGTGTGTGGGGTGTGTGTGGGGTGTGTGTGTGGGGTGTGTGTGTGTGTGGGGGTTGTGTGTGTGGGGTGTGGGGGTGTGTGTGAGAGGGTGTGTGGGGGGAAGTGTGTGGGGGTTGTGTGCGTGGGGTGTGTGTGTGGTGGGGGTGGGCGGGACGAGGCCCAGCCAATCACCGAGCGTGAAGGCCGAGAAGTCTCCCACGAAGTCGACGCGGGGCAGCTTGCCGCGCGTCACGAGCCTCAGCGTGAGCGCCCGGCCATGCGACACCACGGCCTCGGGGATGCTCTTGCCGCACAGCGGGGGGCCCAGCGCCGGAGCGCCCCGGCCGACGCCGTCGTAGAACTGCAGGTAGGAGCCGGCGTGGCAGGGGTCCTCCGAGGCGCCGGGGGCGTGCGGGGCGTCGAGCGCCGGCGGCGGCGAGAGGCTGGCCCCGGGCGCCGGGGTCACGCGGAGGAGGCTGTAGACGAGGAAGAATCGGAACTGGAAGACGAGGCGCTGGTCGGGCTCGGCCGCCCGCACGCTCAGCCAGCAGTCGGTGTCGGCGCCCACGAAGTAGAAGCGGCGGGACTCGCGGTGCGAGCTCAGCACCAGCCCCTCGGCGGTCAGCGAGCGGCCGCACACCTCCACCAGGTGCGCTGCGAGCGGTAGAGCGAGGGGAGGGGGGTAGGGCCACGTGGTCCTTGTGACGTCGTTCATAGCAGCGGTCCCCAACCTTTTTGGCACCAGGGACGGGTTTCGTGGAAGACATTTTTTCACGGACCGGGGTTGGGGAGGGGGGGGGTCATCATTGGGACTTTCCCCCCTTTTCAAAGACGCTCTCCAGCGACGTTTGTTTTGTAACTCATTGTGGCTACCGGGGGTTAGAGCTTGTGGGCTTACTCATTGTGGCTACCGGGGGTTAGAGCTTGTGGGCTTACTCATTGTGGCTACCGGGGGTTAGAGCTTGTGGGCTTACTCATTGTGGCTACCGGGGGTTAGAGCTTGTGGGCTTACTCATTGTGGCTACCGGGGGTTAGAGCTTGTGGGCTTACTCATTGTGGCTACCGGGAGTTAGAGCTTGTGGGCTTACTCATTGTGGCTACCGGGGTTTAGAGCTTGTGGGCTTACTCATTGTGGCTACCGGGGGTTAGAGCTTGTGGGCTTACTCATTGTGGCTACCGGGGGTTAGAGCTTGTGGGCTTACTCATTGTGGCTACCGGGGTTTAGAGCTTGTGGGCTTACTCATTGTGGCTACCGGGGGTTAGAGCTTGTGGGCTTACTCATTGTGGCTACCGGGGGTTAGAGCTTGTGGGCTTACCAACACCACGTGACTGAGACGAGTAATGGGGGCGGGCCACGTGCGGACTCACCGCTCTCACCTCCTGCTGCTGTGCGGCCCGGTTCCTAACACGCCACGGACCGGTACCGGTCCACGGCTCGGGGGTTGAGGACCCCTGGTTCATAGGAGTACTGGGGTGGGGGTTGGTGGAGGGGAGGATCGGGGTACCTGGCAGGGGTTCGAGGTACCTGGTGGGGGTCCCAGCTACCTGGTAGGGGATGAGGAATGTGAGGACGTGGAGTCACGCATCCCGTTGATTTGCAGTGTCCGCGGTTCCAAAAAATTTGCACACCTTTGGAAAATGTGTGCAGTGAGTCTTATTCAAAATTTGAAGCTTTCGTGACTGCAAGGATCCATACTCTTTGGTTCTATTCGGTAAAGTCACGAAGGTTAAAAAGAAAACAACAAAAAATTACGACGTTTCGGCTGGTGACTGCTATATCGGGGAGACGAAACGGCATGTCTCTGACCGAATTCGCGAGCACAAATCAGATTTGAAACACGGCAGAACGAATTCTTCTGCCATAGCTGATCACTGTTACAACACTGTGGGTGATCACGATATAGTTTTTTTCCGATACCAAGGTTCTCTGCAAACCCACGGGTTTTTATCAGAGATTTGTCCACGAGGCAATTCAGATTTACAAACACAGACACAATTTCAACCGAGAGGATGGTTTCAAATTAAGCAATCATTGGAAAGATGTTCTAAATCGAACCAAACATTTAACTTATTTTCAATGGTACAGTATATTTTTTCAAGTAGTGATATCCCAAACTTTCACAGCTTCTTATTTCCCTTTACACCAACATTATGTAAACTTCCCTCCCCCCGCGCCTGGTCCATCATGGTCCCCCCCGCGCCTGGTCCATCATGTACCTCCTACGTACATCATGCTCATTGTTATGCTAATTCCTTTGTCAAGGCGCCTTTGTTTCCTCCCACACAGCTTAAAGGACGCGACCTGGGCTTGGCTGTTTTCACTCCAACGCTGTCCTCTGGACAGTCCGGTCCCTTCACCTGATGAAGGCTACTTGTGTTGTGGCTGAAACGTCGTGATTTTTTGTTTTATTTTTTACCTACGTGACTTTACCGAATAGAACCAAAGAGTACAGTGAGTCTTAGTTTAAGGGGCCGTCCATAAATGACATCACGCGATTTTGGACGATTTTTTACCCCCGCCCTCGTCACACGACGTCACAAAAACTCAGACACCCCCCTCAAATATGACGTCACAAAGCTCTGCCCCCCCCCCCCAAAATATATAAAACCATGTTTCCATTTTGAAAATAAAACATGCTTCAAATCGCTTTAAACTATTGTCATTGTAGTGCGTATTTAATGTGGCGCTGCACTCTGATGTTGTAGGAGTGTTGTTATAACATAATTCTATATTTATTTAAAGTTGTGCATTTTTACGTGACGTCACATTTCTCAACCCCCCCCCCTCGTCACACATCGTCACAAATGTCTGACCCCCCCCACCTAGGTGCGTGACGTCATTTATGGACGGCCCTAAGGCGCTGGTGGTAGATGCGTTAAGCGAAAACAATTTCCCGGTAAATAATGTAGCAACAATAACGCCGGGCGAGATGCGATGCACTCCTACGCGCACTGTATCGCTCCGCACACTGTATCATGTATCACTCCGCTCAGCCGTGCAACTCAATACAATAGTTCATCGTCGGCCGCTCAGAAAGCGCGTTGTAACGGTGTGCATTCCACGTTATAAAGGAACGCGTTCTATGTTATAACGGTGCGTGTTCTGCATTGTAGCGTTGCGCCTTCTACGTTATAACAGGCGCCTGCTGTATTATAACAGGCGCCTTCTACGTTATAACAGGCACTTTCTACGTTATAACAGGTGCCTGCTGTGTTATAACAGGCACTTTCTACGTTATAACAGGCGCCTGCTGTGTTATAACAGGCACTTTCTACGTTATAACAGGCGCCTTCTGTGTTATAACAGCCACTTTCTACGTTATAACAGGCGCCTTCTGTGTTATAACAGGCACTTTCTACGTTATAACAGGCGCCTTCTGTGTTATAACAGGCGCCTTCTACGTTATAACAGGCGCCTTCTGTGTTATAACAGGCGCCTTCTACGTTATAACATGCGCCTTCTACGTTATAACAGGCACTTTCTACGTTATAACAGGCGCCTTCTGTGTTATAACAGGCACTTTCTACGTTATAACAGGCGCCTTCTGTGTTATAACAGGCACTTTCTACGTTATAACGGGCGCCTTCTGTGTTATAACAGGCGCCTTCTACGTTATAACAGGCGCCTTCTGTGTTATAACAGGCGCCTTCTACGTTATAACATGCGCCTTCTACGTTATAATAGGCACTTTCTACGTTATAACAGGCGCCTTCTGTGTTATAACAGGCGCCTTCTGTGTTATAACAGGCGCCTTCTGTGTTATAACAGGCGCCTTCTACGTTATAACAGGCGCCTTCTACGTTATAACAGGCGCCTGCTGTATTATAACAAGCGCCTTCTACGTTATAACAGGCGCCTTCTACGTTATAACAGGCACCTGCTGTGTTATAACAGGCGCCTTCTACGTTATAACAGGCGCCTTCTACGTTATAACAGGCGCCTTCTACGTTATAACAGGCACCTGCTGTATTATAACAAGCGCCTTCTACGTTATAACAGGCACCTGCTGTGTTATAACAGGCGCCTTCTACGTTATAACAGGCACTTTCTACGTTATAACAGGCGTCTTCTGTGTTATAACAGGCGCCTTCTACGTTATAGAACACTCTCTGTTTCAGCTACTCCCCTCCGGCAGAAGGCTTCGGTCCATCAGGACCAAAACCTCACGCCATAAAAACAGTTTCTTCCCATTTGCTGCTGGCCTGTAAAACAAGGCCAAGGGCTAACACTGTTTTTAACATTTGATCTACATAACGACACCTTGCCGATATTAACTATGTTACCCTATTTGTATTTTTTATTTTTAAATTATATCTTAAAGCTATTTTATATTCGATATTTATTTAATTTTATATACTTCAGCCCCTTGGTGTTAGACTTTTAACCCTTATTATAGTAAGACTTGTTTAAAACTTATTTAAGATTTTAGATTCCTATATGTTGAATGTATGCACCATCCTGCCAAAGTAAATTCCGTGTCGGTGTGAACTTACATGGCGAATAAAACCCTTTCTGATTCTGATTCTGATAACAGGCGCCTTCTACGTTATAACAGGCGCCTCGTGTGTTATAACAGGCGCCTTCTACGTTATAACGGGCGCCTTCTACGTTATAACAGACGCCTGTGTTATAACAGGCACCATCTGTGTTATAACAGGCGCCTTCTGTGTTATAACAGACGCCTTCTGCGTTATAACAGGCGCCTTCTGCGTTATAACAGACGCCTTCTGCGTTATAACAGGCGCCTTCTGTGTTATAACAGACGCCTTCTGCGTTATAACAGGCGCCTTCTGTGTTATAACAGACGCCTTCTGCGTTATAACAGGCGCCTTCTGTGTTATAACAGGCGCCTGCTGTGTTATAACATGCGCCTGTGTTATAACAGGCGCCTTCTGCGTTATAACAGGCGCCTTCTCTGTTATAACAGACGCCTGTGTTATAACAGGCGCCATCTGCGTTATAACAGGTGCCATCTGCGTTATAACAGGCGCCTTCTACGTTATAACAGGCGCCTTCTACGCTATAACAGGCGCCTTCTACGTTATAACAGGTGCCTATGTTATAACAGGCGCCTTCTGTGTTATAACAGGCGCCATCTGCGTTATAACAGGCGCCTGCTGTGTTATAACAGGCACGCTCTACGTTATAACAGGCGCCTGTGTTATAACAGGCGCCTTCTGTGTTATAACAGGCGCCTTCTGCGTTATAACAGGCGCCTTCTGTGTTATAACATACGCCTGTGTTATAACAGGCGCCATCTGCGTTATAACAGGCGCCATCTGCGTTATAACAGGCGCCTTCTACGTTATAACAGGCGCCTTCTACGTTATAACAGGCGCCTTCTACGTTATAACAGGCGCCATCTGCGTTATAACAGGCGCCTGCTGTGTTATAAGAGGCACGCTCTACGTTATAACAGGCGCCTGCTGTGTTATAACAGGCGCCTCCTACGTTATAACAGGCACCTTCTGTGTTATAACAGGCACGCTCTACGTTATAACAGGTGCCTGCTGCGTTATAACAGGCGCCTTCTGCGTTATAACAGGCGCCTGTGTTATAAGAGGCGCCTTCTGTGTTATAACAGGCGCCTGTGTTATAACAGGCGCCTGCTGTGTTTTAACAGGCGCCTGTGTTATAACAGGCGCCTTCTGCG